CCCCCCCCTGCCGCCGTTGTGGCCATGATGGTGGTGGTGGTGGTGGTGGTGGAGATCCTCGGAGTTAGAGGGAGGATGGTAGTACATGCGAGCAGTTTGTGGACAGTGAGAGTAAAATCTTCCAGCTATTCTCGCCCCAGCATCTAACAATTCCACGTACTTCCCCATGTCTCTACAAGAAACTCTCCTCCTCCCTTTTATCGGAGTGGGAACTTGAAAGAGTGACAGAAAGAGCGACTTTAGAAGATGTGTGAGCCTCTGTATCGAAGATGTTGTTAGCAGACTTGATGCAAGAAAGAGGAGGAGACTCTTGCTTTATATAGGGATCTCTCGTCCTCCAATAATTCTGGCTTTTGACTTTCCCCGCTTCCCTTCCATTTCCTGTTCTTTATTTTCTTGTTAGTCCTTGTAGGGGAAGGTATATTGTCATTGTACCCCATATTAATTATGCCCCTCTACATATTATTTTATTTTCTATGCCCTCTCGTAAATGGATGCTTTTTTTCTGGCCTTTAGTAGCTGTGAATGTCTATAGCTTTTGTTTTATTTTTTAAATAGCGGCCTGTTTGTTATTTGTTATTGATTTATTGTGTTATTAATTATTATTTTTTTATAAATATGTTTTATTTTTTAAAATTTATTTTTAACATTAGCATATCTATATAATTAAAATAAATAAATAAATAAATTAAAAGCACAATCACTGCTTTGCCAACGGGCTTGAACATACCAATTATAATTCAGGTTCAGAAAGAAAAGACCATAGAGAATTAAACAATGTATTGGATACAAATAAATATATTTTATTTTCCATGAATTAAATGAAAAAAATTGGATGATTAAGTGTATTAGACACAAGTATCATAAAGTGTTCTTGTTTTATTGTTAGAACCTGAAATTCTTCAAAAATTTAACTATCTTTATCATACTTTAATATATATTGCTAAAGGAGACAATCATTAAACCATAAAAAAAACCATCTTTACATTCAACGTCTAAGGTAATTTATTTTCTTACACATTTTTTTAAATCTTGATTTGAACGTGAATCCTAAGCTAATATGCTTATTCCCTCGATTCCTAAACTAGTGTGTACTAATTGTGCTCACACGAATTTCTCAGAATAAAAAAATTGATTAATAATTTTTATTCATTAATAATTTGTGACTCAGCCTCTCTTTAATGGTCAAAGAAATGAATGTAGCTCTTGGCTATTTGGGATTTTGACGAGTCTTTGTTTTTTCCTCCATGGGTGGACGTACTCAAAGAGGGCACAAATAAAAGGGGCTCACATCGAGTGTGCGAAATTAAAGAACTATAAAGGTGAAGGAGCATTGTCTCACGATGCTTCTTTTTTTTTCTACTTTATTTTTTTGTTGTTTTTTTATTGTGCCTACAAGCACACCCGAATATCCACATAAATAAAATAAAAAAGTGGGTTCAGACGTTATAGTACATTCTCGACCGCGTCAAGCTTCGGCGTTCCGCGTTGAATATGTGCATTCGCCAAGTGGTTGGTTTTGACGGCGTTGTCTTAGACTTGTCACTTCTTGTTTTAGAGAATTATTGACTAAAAGTTTTTAAGAGCCCAAACTATGGAGAATTTCCTAACCTAACTTACTTAAATACTCGAATTACTAGGCACTTGTTTTTCCTGATTAAGGATTATTTGTTTTTATTATTTTAAAAATATTCTTAAAAAAACTCGAAATTTTTTATTTTAAAATTATTTTAATATATTAATGTTAAAAATAGTTTTTTAAATAATATTTTTTAATATATTTTTAAATAAAAATTATTTTAAAAAACAACTAATAATATATTCTCAAACAGATAAACTTTGTTTATGCATAACACAAAGAAAAGAAGGATTCGGTAGTGCAAATCAAGAGGCCAATAATAAAAGGTGAAAAAGTAAAGCAAACAGGTGTTGTGCTTTCAAATTAGTTGGTTTTATATTCAACAGTTTAGGTGAAAAAGTAAAGCAAACAGGTGTTGTACTTTCAAATAGTTGGTTTTATATTCCACATTTATTTTTGGAAAATAATTTTTTACATTTATTCTCATAATTTTTTTATAAAAAAATGATTAATAAAATTTTTTTAAAAGTTAATTTTTAAATTTAATTTATTTACTGAAAAATATTTTAAGTTTATAAAATTCTATAAAATATTTTATAAATAATAATCTACTTATAATATTATTTTACTATTTTAACTATCACCTCTCTTTTTTTTTATCTTCTCTTTACTCATTACCATAACTATCTCTTCCATTGTCATTCTCATCATCTTACTATTATTATATTTTTTTTATTATCATTATAATCACCACACAATCATCATTATTTTATCATTACCACCACTATCATTTCATTTCTATTTTTTTCTATCATTATTAAAAAAAATTATACAAAATATTTTTTTATTTATAAAATATTTTAAGCAAAACAATCTGACATGATTTGAAGTTTACTTTGATGCAATTGGGTTGCTGGCACAAGATTTCTAGCTTACAATAAAAAAACATTAAAAAAATATATAAAAAAAATAGATTATGTAACATGTCGTCCAACAAATCACAAACCCCATAGCTGGCCATTCTAAAATGCCGGCAGATCGCAGCCCAACAACTGTTCGGTAAGGTTCTTTCCCTGGTGCAAAAAGAATATTGAGGCGAAGAAATGTTTTAAAATACAATTAAAGGCAAAGAGAAGAAGTTAATATAAAAACCATCAAGAATTGTGGGGGGAAAAACCGTCCTCAGATATATGATTAAATTAAAAGAAGGCGTCAAGAGAGACAGCAAACGAGTTTAGGTTGATTCTAGGATGTGAAGAGTCAGCTGTTCTTTATTCTTAAAAAGAAAGAAATGCGATTATTCTGGCATTCTGCCCAGTCCTCACATCTCAAAACTGTCTTAACAACAATTCAAGGGGCATAAATGGCTAGGGGCCCATCCAATAGCTATCAATTTAAGCTGAATCTATGCTCTCAATCTGTTAACTCAAGGAATGAACAAAGCATTCTAAAATAATGTACATGAACAAGGCCCTCTCTTGGCACAGTAAGAAAAACAATACAACGTTGATACATAGGAAAAATTCAGTTAACTATAATGTATATATGGATCATGGAGAGGCACTGCCACTGCCATCCTAATATATTTAATGGCATAATAGTGTCACACGGTTCCTTGTTTTCACATCTTTACGCGGCAATGTTGTGCAGAAAACGCTACAAAAGGCAAGACTGTTGCTCTCTGTCATGCTACCAGCCTAATTAATCATATACCAACTTTTCCCATTTCACTTGTATGTTTATATATAGTGTAACGGCTGACCAAACTTTCTCGTTAGTGGGATGGATAAACACTAGATAGATGAGTTATTTCTCATGCTATATACAAAAGATAGATCACTAATTACAGTTATAACCAGTGTTATTAAACCCGGCCCGGCAGGTCAACCCGAGACCCGGCCTACCCGGTGCCTGGACCGG